TCCCCCCTCGGCGCGATTCTGGCTCGGCTCCCCCAAGCTTTTGCCGCATATAAGCAGCGCATAGAGAAGAGGGGGGGCCCGCTCGCCGTCGGACGCCTTTTGTCTTGCGCATCGCCTGTCGGTTTCCGTCTTCTTATGCCCAGCGGTCGACCACGCTCGACCACCATTGGGACTGCCAGTTATGGCTGCGCTGCCTCAGAAGGGGCTAATCCGGTTTGCGCGCGTCCCGCCTCACTTTGTGCGCCGTTGGCTGAAGTCATTGGGGCGCCAGAGGAAGAAGCGCACACATTGCTCATGTCTAATTATTCGAAAGTTCTTTGAATTTGTGGGGGGGGCAAGACCCTTTCCTTTCTAATTGTTGCATCCTGGGCATCTTCCTGGCCACCAGGGGGCCAGTAACAGTTAGAAGCGGGCACGATTAGAAATGAGCGCGACTAGGGTGGTGCCGCGGGGGGCGAGGGTGGTGCCGCGGGGGGGGGGGGGGAGGGGGGGGGGGGGGGGGTGGGGGGGGGGTCGCCGCGCCGTGTTTTCACGCCCACCCCTCTGGTGGATTAATAAGAAGTTCGGCGTATCGTTTCGTGTTGCTCCCCAGGTTGACCTGGTGGCCAATGAGACCACCACCACCGTCGCCGAGCTCGTTCGGAACGACTTCCTGCAGGTTCTCAAGGGGTTCCCCAGCGACCAGCTCTGGTACCAGTCGGTGCTGGAGGAAAACCTGGCTCCCGAGCACATGCTGGCGGGTACCTCAATAGCCCCATGCCCGATCTTCAAGGGGATCGCCAAGGAGACGCTCAGCGCGGTCGAGCCATGCGTGCTGCGACGGCTGTACTTCCCGGGAGAGCACCTCTTCGACGAGGGGGCCCCGAGCGAGGCGCTGTACATGCTGATCCGCGGCCGGGCCTCTGTGGAGAAGGCCGGCCGAGTGGTGCGCTACGAGACCCGCAAGCACGTGTCCGAGGGCGGCAGACGGCGCCGGAGCATGCAGCAGTTGCAGACTGGCTCGGTGCCCCACCGCCCTTCCCTCCTCGCAGTGAGGGGCGCGGGTCCCGAGGGGGGCGGGTCCTGCAGCCAGGGCGTTGAGCTGAGGGCCGTGCCTTGGGCGCAGGAGCTCGGCATCGCTCGGACGTGTGCATGTTTCCCTCGGCGAGGACCATCGAGGAGCACCCTTGACCATTGGGCGAAACAGCCACGCGCGGAACCGAACAAAAACACAGGGAATGGACGCCCCAGCTTAAGGCGCAGGAGGGGCTCTGGCCTCTGGGCCGCTCCCCCCAGCTGGGTCGGGGAGCCCCTGCGCGGCCCAGGCGCGTCGCTCCGACAGCCAGGGCGTTGAGCAGGAGGAGGAGGAGGAGGAGGAGGAGGAGGAGGAGGAGAGGATGGAGGTGATGGAGGAGGAGGAGGAGGAGGAGGAGGGGCTGTTCTGGCCTCTGGGCCGCTCCCCCCCGGCTGGGTCGGGGAGCCCCTGCGCAGCCCGGGCGCGTCGAGGCCGGAGCGGCCAGAGCTCCCGGGGCACTCCTCGAGGGCCGGCTCCTCATCCCACGCCGTCGCCGGACGGTCCCAGGTCGACTCCACGCCAGATTGCTTCTCAAATGATATATATATATATATATATATATATATATATATAAAAAATGTGTATATATAATAACTATATATATATAATATATAGTATGCTGGGGCCGTTTACCAGATGCCAGATTGGCGCAATTTGGTTCTCGCTCAATTAGATCGGATGGACCCCGCGCAGAGTTTCCAGATTGGACCCGCCATATTGGCGCCAATTGGCTTTCTACGACTACCAGTAAGAGTCGTTCGTCCCCACGTCGTCCTCGGACGGTCCCAGGTCGCTCCACGTAGAGGGGTGAAAACGACGCGAGATCGGGACAAAATCGGATCGGGTAACTCGACTCTCTGATAATCGGGCGGGTTTGGAGGATTATTGGGCGCCGCGGCCGCTCCAGAGCGTTCCGGAACGCTCTGAGAGCGCTCCGGAACGCTCTGGAGCGATTTATCCCGATCCTAGCCCTGTTCTAGTAAGAGTGACCCTTCGCCGGAGTGACCTTTGGTGCAGGCCCTCTGGGGTCCCCCGATCGCCGAACGCGATGCGGTGGCAGCGCCTTGCGCGCTTGTGTGTGGTCCCCCCGCGACCCCCAAAGAGCCGCGCAACAAAGGTCACTCGTACCCAGGGTCACTCTTGCGTGCAGTCGACCAGGGGCCGAGGGAGGCTTCCGTGAGCCCGAGCCCGAGGGAAGATTTCCAGGGCCGGTGTCCCTCAGGGCCCGTCTCTTTCATGCTAACCTTCCTCTCTCCTCTTACTCCTCGTCGCCAGGGATTTCGCGTGGAAGCCCCTCACAACTGATCATCCTGATGCTTCAAGGCACCACACCGCTGTACGGATGGAAGGCCCATGTGGTTCAGAGTGTTGCTCTCATTTTAGCGCCGCAACATTCGGCTGAAAAGTTTGCAGGAACTGCCAGGATAGAGGGCCAATGGCTTTGAAAATGCGGCTCTCGCCTGAGCGCCGCGCACATTCGCTTCAAAAGCTCGCAACATTGACAAGGTTTGAGATGCCGACTCCCTTTCAAATGCGATCGATTACCGCCTTATCGCCGCGCGCATTCGTTCTTAAAGTTCCCAATGTTACAAGGATGGAGGACGGTCTCTTCTTAGAGTTGGGCTCTCGTTTGAGACGTCCTTTGACGGCCAGAAGTTTGAACAGATGTAGCAGCTGCTCATATGGAGCGCGGCTCGTTTCAAACTTTGGATATTGCTGGAGATGTATTCAACATTCGTGACCTGACATGTACAGGTGTGCAACGGTTACGCGGATCGGGGGGTCCTTTTCAAATAGGGCTCTCGCTGGTCTTCCAAAACAGGCCCATGTGGTATTGGGCTGGTCTTTCAATCAGGCGCATGTTGCAGTGAAAAGAAAAGCATGTAGGGGCATGTGGGGAATACAATTCGGACGGGAGGCTGTATTGCAGCGTAGTCTAGGCATCCTGGGTTTACTCTGGTCCTCCTTCTCTTCCTCCTCCTCCTCCTCCTTCTCCTCCTCCTGCTCCTCCTCCCCCTCCTCCTCCTCATCCTCCTCCTCCTCCTCTTCCTCCTCCCTCCTCCTCCCTCGTATCTTTCCTTCCTCCTCTCTTTCCTCCTCCTCCTTCTCCTCCCCCTCCTCCCCTCCTCCTCCTCCTCCTCCTCCTTCTCCTCCTCCTCCCTCCTTTTCCTCAAAAGAAGCCTCCTCCTCCTCCTCTCCCTCTTCCTTCTCCTCCTCCTCCTCCTCCTCCTCCTCCTCCTCCTCCTCCTTCCTCGTTCTCCTCCTCCTCCTCCTTCATCGTTCTCCTCCTTCTCCTCCTCCTCCTTCTCCTCCTCATGCTGGCCGCATAGGTGCTCCTGCGGCCGCCGCCGCAGCCGATGCAGCTCGGGGATCGTGCCCAGAGGGCGAAAGAGACCGAGAACGAGCCCGTAGTGTGCTTCGGGGAGGTTCGTTCGCCATGAGGGGCGTTCCTCCTCCTCCTCCTCCTCCTCCTCCTCTTTTCCTCCTCCTCTTCCCTGCCCTCCTTCTACAATTAGACAACCTGAATACTACTCTCCCTCCTCCCCTGAAGTTGTCCGGAAGATCTCCCGCCCCCTCCGCGTGCTCTTTTGCACAGGATTCCGAACGTTGTTTTTTTCTTATACGCGTTTACAATCCTTATTGTTGTGCCCCCGCTGCAGCGTGGGCCTCATTTTCGGATCGGCGCTCTGCTCCCGTCGTTCAGAATGGCGCTCTCGCCTCAGCGCTGGCCACTTTGCTGGATCCGAGTCTTGCTTCATTGTGTTCCCCCCCCCTCATGTCCCCTCCTCCTCCTTCCTCTGGTCCTTCTGTTCCTCCCGTCCCTTCCACTCTAGCTCGTGCTGCTGCTGTTCGTCTCGCCCCAGCACGGGCCCCTTTTCTGAGTCCGACTCTTTCTCCATCACCATCGACCCCCTCATGTCCCCTCCGCCTTCCCCTGGCCCTCTTTCTCCTCCCGACCCTTCCGCTTCAGTCTCTGCTGCTGCCGTTCGTCCTCGTGTGAGGAGGAGGAGGATGAGGAGGAGGGGAGGAGTATGAGGAGGAGGAGGAGGAGTGAGGGGGAGGGGGGAGAGGGAAAGGAGGAGGAGGAGGAGGAGGAGGAGGAGGAGGAGCAGGAGCAGGAGCAGGAGAAGGAGGAGGAGCAGGAGCAGGAGGAGCACTTATAACAAGCGAGTTGTCACCGTGCTGTCGTATATATCACAGCACTTCGTGCTGCCGCCGCTCTTCTCGCGTGTCGAGCATGCGTGTATGGCTATGGTGCTCTCAGTTCCGCACTGCTCCGTGAGCCGTGCTGATTGTTTCAACCTCGACAGCTGGGGAGGACCTCGGCTGACGAGTGCGCTGGTCACAAATTTGGCCGCTCTGATGCGTTGCGCGCTGAAGACCTTCAGCGAGTGGCCAAAGTTGTACCATCGTTTGCATGATGTGGCAGCGCTCGAATTGTCCCTCGCCCAATGGACGTCGGGCCAGATGTCGCCCTCGTTTTGGGACACGCCCCCGAAGGTTGGAACTCTGAGGGAGGCTAGTCTTGGCTTCCCTTCGTCGCCCGCCTGGTCGGAGGCTGGAAACCATGCCTTGAAAGCTGGTTTGTCTGCGTCCCGTGATCCGAAGGCCAAGCTCCAGAGAGTCACAGCTCGTGAGTTACACCTCCACCTCTTACCTCCGAGCCTCCACTCCACCTTCAAATCTCGGCTTTTAAAGTGGTATCCTGATTCCAGAGGCCCCATTCTTAGGGTAGATTGGAGTACCGTTCGAATCGAAGTTTTGAAGTTCCCCAGTCCCTGGGATACTGCTTCCATCAAAACCATGTCTGGAGGATGGGTGACGGGGGCCCGTTTTCAAGACCGGGGGAAGAATTGTATCTTAGGCTGCTGTGCTCCCGACTCGACGTCGCACTATCTCTCTTGCCCCGTGTTCCTCGGCCTCCTCGCCTCCGTGGTGCTGTGTGACCTCCCCCCGTGTGTGGTCTCACGTCTCGGCCTCCTCGAACCGTCGTCGAGGCTGCTTGAAGTCCCAGTTGTAGCGTTTTCATGATTTAATCATCTCAGGGCCCTCCCCCCCCAAAGGGGCGGATTGAACTCAGACAGGTGTCGTGGGCTTTTGCCGCAGGTCCGTGCAGCTCATGAGCGGCTGCGACCTGCCGCTGTTCGAGAATAGACTGGTGCGCGCCCCTGGGTACGCGCCAGGAGGAGGAGGAGGAGAAGGAGGAGGAGGAGGAGGAGGAGGAGGAGGAGGAGGAGAGGAGGAGGAGGAGGAGGGGGAGGAGGAGCAGCAGCAGCAGGAGGAGGAGGAGGAGGAGGAGGGGGAGGGGGTGCTCGTCTTCCTGCTCACCCGCCGCATCCTCCTTTGCACGCAGCTCCCCTGCTTCTCCGACTGCGCACGGCACGAAGTGGCCCCTGCTCTCTGGGAGGCGCAGGGTCGGCTGCGACGGTCTGCGACGCGCGCCCGCGGGTGGAGAATAATCAGCGCCACGGGAAGGGATCGGAGGGCCTGCCTCCCCCTCCCCCTCCTCCTCCTCCTCCTCCTCCTCCTCTCCTCCTCCTCCTCCTCCTTCTCCTCCTCCTCCTCCTCCTCCTCCTCCTCCTCCTCCTCCTCCTCCTCCTCCTCCTCCTCCTCCCTTATCCTCGTCCTCTTCTGTGTTTCTGGGAGGATCGTTCGCCATGGCGCGGCGTTCCCGAGTGGACCTCATTCTCAAGGGAGTATCAACCGGCGGCGACTGGCGGATGTAATGAGTGTTGTTCCAACTGTTTTTTTCGGGGGTGTGGAGCAGACAGGGTCAGAGGGTCGCTCATAGTCTGTTTGGCTCGAGCTCGCTCGGGCCAAGGACCTCAGGACGGCGCGCGTCTTCGCTTTCCCAGGCCTCTGGCTCGCGGCCGTCCTCCCCGCGGGGTGGCCACCCTTCGAGCCGCGAGGGGCCCGTCATCCGCTGTCTGCCTCTGACGAGGGCCCTTCGATGCCCGCACCGAAGACATGGGACCGACGTTACCATCGTCACAGCGAGGCTCGTGGACGCGAGGCTCGTCTGCTCCATCGTGTGCCGAACAAGTCGGGCATGTGGCCCTGCCTGGCTCCCCATTGGACCACGAAGCGCTGTAAAGGGTGTGGCGGACGCATGCGGCCACCCCCACTGGAGCTTTCGGTGGAGCTCCCTGTGGGGCCACGAAGCGCTGTACTGGCGGACGCACACGGGCACACCCACTGGGGTCTTCGGCGGAGCTCCCCATGAGGCCACGAAGCGCTGTACTGGGTGTGGCGGGCGCATGCAGGCACCCCCACTGGATCCTTCTGTAGAGCTCCCTATGGGGCCACGAAGTGCTGTACCGGGTGTGGCGGACGCATGTGGCCACACCCACTGGGTTTTCGGTGGGGCTCCCCATGAGGCCACGAAACGCTGTACTGAGTGTGGCGGACCCATGTGGCCACACCCACAGGGGCCTTCGGTGGAGCTCCTTATGGGGCCACGAAGCGCTGCACAGGGCGTGGCAGACGCATGCGGGCACCCCCACTGGGGCCTTCGGTGGAGCTCCTTGTGGGGCCAGGAAGCGCTGTACCGGGCATGGCGGGCGCATGCGGGCAAGAGCTCCCGATAGGGGCCACGAAGCGCTGGACAGGGCGTGGCAGACGCATGCGGGCACCCCCACTGGGGACTTCGGTGGAGCTCCCATATGGGGCCACGAAACGTTGTGCCGGGCGTGGCGGACGCACGCGGGCACCCCAACTGGTGCCTTCGGTGGAGCCCCCTATGGGGCCACGAAATGCTGTGCTGGGCGTGGCGGGCACATGCGGGCACCCCAACTGGTGCCTTCGGTGGAGCTCCCTATGAGGCCACGAAGCGCTGTACTGGGTGTGGCGGACGCATGTGCCCCCCCCACCCCATTGGGGCTTTCGGTGGCGTTCCCTATGAGGGCTGTGCCGAAACGGGTGTGGCGGACGCATGTGGGCACCGCCGCTGGGGCCTTCGGTGGAGCTCCCTATGGGGCCACGAATCGTGTGAGGGGTGCGCCGCAATGGTGGACATGCGGTGAACAGAGGCAGGGATGGGGGGAGAAAGGAGGAGGAGGAGGAGGAGGAGGAGGAGGAGGAGGAGGAGGAAGAGGAGGGAAGGAAGGAAGGAAAAAAGGAAAAAAGGAATACGGGCACTGTCTCTTCAAAACGGGGACCCAACACCACAGGATGGCTGGGGAAAAAACGGTAGCTGCCTCGCGCATCGCGGGGCGCGATGCGGGAAGCTAGGCGAGCTGGATACCGACGACGACGACGCCGGCGACGACGACCTACTGCGGGCACATCAAATCAGAAACCGACTTGCCAGCACCCCGAGGCTGGGAAGCTGCTGAGAACCGACGAAAGCGTCCGAAGACCTCGAGCCCCGAGGCCTTGAAAGAGACCCAAGGATATGGTCGTCGCTCGTGGGATGTCAGGGTGCTGAGGGCTCAGCCTCTTCCTACTCCTGCTACTCCTGCTCCTCCTGCTACTGCTCCTGCTCCTCCTCTTTCTCCTCCTCATCCTCCTCCTCCTCCTCCTCCTCCTCCTCCTCCTCCTCCTCCTCCTCCTCCTCCCTCTCCTCTTCGCGATTACTCATCATGTTTCTCCGCCCCCCCCTCCCCCCTTCTGCTTATTTCCCTGATCCCCGTCCTCGCCCTCGTCCTTATCATCTTCCTGCAACTCCGCCTCCTCCTCCCCCTCGCCCTCGTTCTTGTCATCTCGTGTCATCACCCTCCTCCGCCTCCTCCTCCTCGCCCTGGTTCTTGTCATCTCATGTCATCACCCTCCTCCGCCTCCTCCTCCTCCTCCTCCTCCTCCTCCCCTTTCGTGGGAGGTCGAGGTGCTGGGGGCTCAGCAGAGCTACTCCTACACCGCCGTGGCGCAGTCCGTGTGTCACGTCCGGCTCGTGCACCGGCGGGTGCTGCTGCAGCTGCTGGCCCAACACGCCGACCTCCGCAAGGAGGTGCGGAGCATGGGCCGCTCGCTGAAGCGGAGCCTCCGCGGAGGGCACTCGTTCTCTTGCCTCCTCCTCCTCCTCCTCCTCCTTCTCCTCCTCCTCCTCCTCCTCCTCCTCCTCCTTCCCGTTTCCCTCCTCCGCCCTCCTCCTTCTCCGCCCTGCTCCTCCTCCTCCCCGTCCTCCGAATTCGGGTTTGCCGATGCTCGGTTCGCTGGAACTTGGGGAACTCAAGACTCGAGTTCGCGGCAACTCGGGACTGCCGACGCTTTTTGACGGGCCCATCTATCTTGACGTTCCAGTGTTCGTGGGACGGCTGCGGCGGGAGCTCGCGTCGGATCTCGGATTGGGTCTCGTCACGTTCCTAAGGGTCCCGTCAGGCCAGCCCGAGTCCCCGAACCCGAGTCTTGCGTTATGTTGCTCCTATCGTACTGAAGGGCCACATCCCTGAAATAATTTCGAGCACCCAGAAAAGTGTCGAGACGGTGTCGAACGAGTATCGCCTCCCAGGGTCGGACACGTGAAAACCTTCAAGTTTCGGTACTTTCTTGGTGCTCGAAATTCTTTCTGGTGGTCAAGGCTAAAGTAGGTTGGAACATCGTAAGTCTTGCGTCTGCCTGAGAGGTGTGAAGCATGGCCCGCTCGTTGAAGCGGAGCCTCCGCGGAGGGCACTCGTTCTCTTGCCTCCTCCTCCTCCTCCTTCTCCTCCTCCTCCTCCTCCTCCTCCTCCTCCTATCTTGCCTCCTCCTCCTCTCTTGCCTCCTCCTCCTCCTCCTCCTCCTCCTCCTCCTCCTCCTCCTCCTCCTCCTGGGGTGCGTTCTGACTGGAATTTCGAGGTGAATCCAGCGGTGGAGACGAGGGCCTCCCGGGAGGCCCCAAATAGGGGAAAACGGGCGAAGGGTAGAGGTATGGTCAGGAGGGGAAAAAACACACAGACACAATTAATCGTCGATTCCCCCCAAAATATGGGAAAATATGGGAAGTGGGGGGGAAGACAGAAACCCAGAAAATATGGGAAAATATGGGGGATCCTTTTATTTGTGTGTATTTATTTGTGTGTCCCAAGGCCCCTTCATATGGGTACACTATGGTACCCTGAAGCGTGGGGCCTTCGGGTTGGGTTTGGCGTGGCTTAGGGGGTGGTGAGCTTCGGAGCAGGCGCAGAAAGCTCCTCCAAAGGCCGGAAGGAGGAGGAGGAGGAGGAGGAGGAGGAGGAGGAGGAGGAGGAGGCTCCTCCGCAGGCCAGATACCTTCGACGGTCCGCCCCCCTCTGCGCATTCCCCCCCCCCCCCTGGCGCGCCGCAGAGCTCGGTCTGCCTCGGGCCTGCGGCGGCTGCTCGCGGCGAGGAGGGGCACCCCGGGAGCCCCCTCGGCGAGGCGCAGCTGCTGGAGAGCACCCCTCGGGGATGCCAGACCTCCTTCCCCTCCCCCCCCCCTTTGCGCCCAACGCAGAGCTATGCCCGCGGCCGCCCCTCGAGCGCCCGCCGGGTCAGGAACTCCTTTGCGGAGTCGCAGCAGGACCAAATACACGCGCGCACGTTGGAAGTCACCTTGGCAATTCGCCGCGTGAACGGACGCCGAGCACGCGCCATGTAAGACGACGAGGAAGTACACGAGCGGAGGTATCATCATGGAGTGCGGCCCAGTTGGGCCCCCCCTTGCAAGGGGAAGAGGCCCTTGCAAGGGGAAGAGGCCCTTGGGCCCACCCCCCAAAGACGCCTCCAAAAGGCCCAAGAGGCCCTGCACACTCGCGACTGGAACTCCAGGCCCCATCCTTCCCCGGCCTTCCTCGGGCCGCCTCGGGCCCGCGAGGGGCCCACGGGGCCCGACGTCGGGCGAAGGCGCCCGTGCAGTGCGAACAGAAAAGCCGCACCCCTCCCGCGCCTCAGGGGTTCCGCCGGGGCCCCTGGCGCGGCCGTGGCCGGGCCTCGAGCCTGGCCCCCATGGGGTGCCCACGCGGGGCTGCGGCGGCCGGAGGAAGAGGAGGAGGAGGAGGATGAGGAGGAGGAAGAGGAGGAGGAGAAGGAGGAGGATGAGGAGGAAGAGGAGGAGGAGAGGCGGGAGGAGGAGGAGAGGAGGGGAGGAGGGGGGGCCTCCGCTGGGCACCCCCGGCCGGAGAGCTCTCCTCGCGGCGCCCGCGGCGGCTGCCGGAGAGGGCGCCCCCCGGGGGCCCGAGGGCCGCCGAGGAGCGCCGAGGGCGTCCTCGGACACCTCGAGCTCGGAGGGTGCCCCCCCCCGGCCAGGCCGGGGGCCCCGGGGGCCGAGGCCCGAGGAGGCTCCCCCGTCGCGGTGGCTGCAGGGCGCGGCCGTGTCTGGGCAGGACGCCCTTCTCTCTCTGTAGGGGGCGAAGATGGAGGGCTTCTCCGAAGGGCTTCGGCGACCCGTCCTCCTCCTCCTCCTCCTCCTCCTCCTCCTCCTCCTCCTCCCTCCTCCTCCTCCTCCTCCTCCTCCTTCTCCTCCTCCTCCTCCTCCTCCTCCTCCTCCTCCATCTCTCCTCCTCCTCCTCCTCCTCCTCCTCCTCCTCCTCATCCTTTTTTTCCTCCTCCTCCTCCTCCTCCTCCTCGGCTCGCCTACGGCCACGGGGGAAACCGTGCAGCGATCATGTCTGGGCAGGACGCTTTTTCTTTAGGGGACGAAGAACGGCATAACACAAGCCTTTCCGCCGTCGGAGAAGCCTGTGTTATACCATGTTTCGCCCGCTGATTCTTGCGCAGGAGCGGCACCATGAACCTCGGGTCCGAGCAGGAGCGGGTCGTCCTGTTGACCTCGTTGCTCCGGGAGGCTGAACTGCTCCGGAGCGCCCAGTGCAGCGACGCGTTCCTGCAGTACCTCGCCCAGAACCTCGAGTCCAAGGTCGCCATGATCTGGGTCTCCTGGGTTCCGAGCTCACGGGGTCGGAGGATCGCGCCGCATCGCCGACGCATCGGCGATGCGGCTCGATGTGGATCCCGATTTTCTCCACGCCGATGGCGCCGATCCAACGCCGGCGTCGCCGATGAATCGCCGCTGCATCGGCCATGCATCGGCGGCGATGCGGCGCGATCCCCCGACCCCATCTACTTGGACCCCATCTAGGAGGCCTCTGCATAAAGCGAACGGGTCCTGAGGGAAACGGGCACGGGGCCCCCGTTGTGTCGAGTGGCCCTCCTCCCAGAGGTGTTCATAGCGGGGCACGCCATCTTCCAGGAGGACACCGTGGACGACCGCTCGATGTGCCCCGAGACCCGACTTCCTCGGGGTGGGGACGGGCGCGCGGCGCCGCGAGAAGCCCACGATCACCCTGCCCAGGGCTCCGTTCTGAGACCCTTCGGCGTCTGAGCCTGCACGGCCGCCAAGCGGAGCCGAGATCGGTCCCACTCGGCGGCCGAGTGGGCCAAGCTCCCGCCGCCATCCTGGAATCGGGCCCGCTCGACTGCCCACTCGGCTGCGGGGTGGGCACGGGTGGGCTCGGGCGCCGACCGAGTCGGTTCGGAAGGGAGCCTCGAGGCAGAGCCGTCGGCTCGAGCCTCGCGCGGCACTCCCAAGGTCACCCGCGGGGGCGCGAGGGTGTTCGCGCCTCGTGCATCGCGGCTTGGGCCAGGGGCTGTTGGAGAGGCGCCTCTCTCCAGGGATGCGGCGCGGAACTGGATTCCTCGAGCAGGATCGATCTGTGGTGTGGCGCTGGGGCCCGTGGCGGGGAAGGGGCTCTGGAGGCATCCCCGCAGGTCTCCTGGGGGTCCCCGGGAAGTCGAAGGCGCCTGCGGAGATCCCCAGAGGTCCTGTGGAGGGCTCTGGGGAGGGAGGGCGGGAGGGAGAGGAGGAGAGGAGGAGGAGGAGGAGGAGGAGGAGGAGGAGGAGGAGGAGGAGGAGGAGGAGGAGGAGGAGGAGGAGGAGGAGGAGGAGGAGAAGGACGATTTTCCGTAGCCATTTTGGCTCAAGTTTGTGTGCGTTCCCGCTCACAGTGCCCGCAGCCATGCAGCGTGCAGGTACTCCAGGCCGTGACTCAGCTGGGGCTGGGTCGGGCCATGGTCCGCGGGCAGTCACACCAGGACAGGACGTCGGCTTCACCAAGTGCAGCCAGTGTGGATGTGCCAAGAACAAGCGCTGGTGGAAATGGTGCAAGCATTGCAAGGCTCCTCTCTCGGACAGTGTGCAGATGGTTGCCATTCGGCCTAGTGGGTCTGGTCGCTCTCCGGGCCCACCTGCTGGGCGATTTCGGTGTGCCTCATGGCGTGAACGCAGCAGCCTCCAACCAGAAGGCCCCGACCCGGCCGGCCCAGCAGGCGCTGTTCGACGGACGCCCAGTGTCTCCTTCGCTGATGGTGGCCGCCCTGGCGCTGAACATTTCATCCTGTCAGATTCCGAATGGCCCGATCCAAGTGGCGCCAGTACTGAGCAGAGACGGCTGGCCGAACTCATCAAGCTGCTCAGAGAGAATGGAGACGACACCTCGGCAAACAAGTACCAAGAGAAGCTGGACAAACTCATCCAGCAACCGGCCATTGAGAACATCACTGGGGGCCAGGCGAAGCAGAAGATGCAGCAAGCTGGGGTGTCCCTCCGCCGTGCCATTGCCTAGTGTGAGAAGGTCGAGACCCAATACTTCGATGCCGAGGACCAGGTCCAGGAGTGCTCGGAGACGGTGGATTTCGCCAGGGATGTCTACAACAAAGTTGTTCAACAGTTAGCCAAAAGTGTGGACACCAGCCAGACGGACCACAAAACATCACCCCAGGCAGGGCAAAAGTTGGACCTGGCGGCCATCCTCGATGGCGAAACTGTTGACTTGGACGACGGAAGGGTTGTTCTGGTTGGACGAACTGGGCGAGCTGGTATCTGCTGAAGACCGTGATTGGGGGCTCAAAACAGGGATGCGGCCCTACAAGAGAAGATTCGAGAGATGGCCAAGGAATGTTTTGGCCACGTCCGTGCCACAGCTGATGAGCTCGTGCAGGAACATTCGGAGCAGGAGAAACGCTTGGCCGCCCAAAAAAGGAGAACAGACGAGGCCCCTGCAGATGGCGGACAGACAGCGACATATGCCCAAGTTGCTTAAGCTCCAGTGGGGCCAGCACGACCTGCCGCTGCTGCATCTGGAGGACTTGCTGGAGCGGCTGGTACACCTACTGGAGTGGGACATACATCGGCGAAGGATACCACGCCTAGCCGTGCTTCGCCCTCTAGCATCCAGGCAGCCAAAGAGGAGCTGGCGGCTACGGGGACGTCGGCTGAACCACCGCAGCAGGGGTAACACGTGCGTCGGCTGCAGTAGCTACAGCTTTCAGTGTTCAGTTTTGGCGCCGACTCCTTCGAGTGCGAAAGAGACTACTGACATCTACGCCGGCATAGGTACGAACCCAATTTCTCGGCTGCCAGAATGGGACATAATACTGTTGGGATATGGAGCTTGTTGCCCACTTACCCTCAGAAGAGCGCCCTTGGGATCGGCATGCTGGAGTCACCTTCGATTGCAGCCACTGGCACGCGTGGACGCACAATTCCTGTTCTACGTCACAATGTCGGATCTGTCGACGGGGGCGTCATCCATGACCTCTTTCCGTTCCGCGTCTTCTACAGTGACCTCGTTGGGCGGTGCGCTCATTGGCCCCATTGAGGGCCGGAAGAAGCCACCGCATGGAGTGCGCCAGGGGGGTAGGGACACACCTGTTGCCCAAGCGGCTGGTATACCGCATACTCACGGACATCAAGGCCACTGTCGGTCTGCAGTTGGAGCGAAAGCGGTCGCCCTTGCCCCTCGGCTGGAAGCGCAGGTGGCGACGGCGGGCCCAGAGATGGATCCACGACTTCTATGAAGGACTCACTGATGACGATCTGTTCGCCTTCCAGGACTGATGCGACGCCTACTTGAGGCAAGAGTTGCAGCGGCCCTGGTTCGGTAGAAAGCTTCAAGGCCGCGTGCAGGAAAGCGCGCAGCTAGCTCATGACATATGTACACGGGCATGGCACTCAGGAGCGCAGAGTAGGCAGGCCTTTTATCGTTGGTTTCGCATGCTGAACCCTGCGCGGCAGCCTGCGACAGCTGGGATGCACAACTGCGAGTACTTCAGTCTGAGGCACTGGCTCGAGAACCACAATCGAGTTGAACCTGCCCCTCCTTTGGGACCCCTGCCTAGCCATGCTCGCCGAACGCACCGACATGGACCTGGAACCGTCTCATCAAGCTCAGCACCAGTGGCGCCCGCTTCGAGCGCAGCAGTCGAAGTTGCTTCGACTGGCTACTCTGTTGCGGCAGGGGCTTCCGCGACCACGGCTGTGCAGGCTGGAGGCCAGCGTGCTGCTCGTGCCCCTGCTGGCGGGAGCGCAGGGAGAGGCCAACGACCAAAGGCCCAACCAACCAAACACAACGGAGGTTTTTCATTACGAACCACAGCACTTGGAATGGATTTCAGGACGTCTGGGAAAGAGTGCATCTTCCGGGGGAAGTACCTGACTTTGTTGCGACCCAGGGAACTAGGCTCACTTCTGGAGGACCTGGATCGTCGGCAACTGCATGGGCAGGTGTTCGTGCTTTCAATTCTCACCATGCTCCTGCTGTTCTCATAGTAGACCACCAACTATCTAATTCGGCAGGAGTAGCTGCTGCCGTTCGCCGTCATATTTTGAGCAAACACCCTGCGCATGAGCAGCTAGGCATTGGGCCGCGCGGACTTGGGGGGGGGGGCTGTCGCTACCCATGCTCAAGTGGTGGTCCGTGGAGGTATAAGCTGGGTCTCCCTGTGCGGGTTCACGGGGATAGGCGGCGCTGGCCTCAACATTCAGATTCTGGGCGACCTTGGGGTATTGCTGGAACAACTCAAGACCCCGCGGGCCCTGCGAGGTGACTCCAACATCGACTCTTCGGACCCTGGGCTGCCCAGCTGGCGTTCGCTTGCAGGGGGAAGCATCGTTGCACCCAAGGCGCCGACATGTCGCAGGCAGACCTTGGATTCTGTCATTGTTCCTAGAGGAGTGACCGCTGCCGCCACCTCTGCGTCTGCTTCATTTGCTGGGCCTTCCTCCCCACGCGCGCCAGTACTCATGCAACTCCGCAATTCCAGTTACTTGGAAGCCGTTCCCTACTAAGCCCAACGCTGAGTGTATTAGACTGCTCGCGGAAGCCAGCTGGAGTTGGGAAGTAGGGAACTTGGGTCAGTCTAGATCCTTGGATGAAGCTCGGTGCCAGTGGCTAGATAATATGGGCAACAATCTGCGTGAGCAGTTCGATTTGTTTGGCTCCGGTAGGGCGCGGTATACAGGGAGTTCCAAGGCATTCCAGAGGACGAAGATCCGGCTCAAGGCGGCCCTGAACAGACAACGGGATGCCCACTCTACCCCCGAGGCCCGCGCGTGGCGCACATTCCAGTCTTCGACCACTGCACTTAGGAGTTTCTGGGGCCATCTGGATGATTTTTCGCTGCGACTACTGCCAGAACGTCCTAGGTGCGATAGCGAAGCTAGATAAAGACGATCGCACTCCCGGTCATGCCCTTGCCCAGCGCCGCTTCGATGACCTCCCCGCAGTGGCTGCATCTGGCGGCTGTATGTTGGACGAAATGTCAGAACTGGCGGTCGATGTAGCTGACGGGGCTTCGATCAAGGAGGGAAGGATTAGGCGGCAGAAGTGGCCGAGATGGGCTAAGGAGGCCGCTGGATGAGGAGGCGAAGCTGCACTCAGGTTGACTAGCGAGAAACAACAGCTACGACCGCCAGTAGACGACGCAGGCATTCCCCTTCTAGGCGATGCGGCCGTCACCAGCCTGTGCGACTCCTGGGGCGCCATGTGGCGCGACGCGAAAACACGAGTGACAGACGTTCAGCGAGCTGCTGCACAGCATGCCTCTCTGCCGCAGCCTTCGCTCGAGATGCCTGATGCAGCCCTAGCGCGTTTTCGCTGCAATGTCAGGCTGGGAGTTGACTGCGTCAGCCCGAGATCCGGGTTCCTCTTGGGTTCTGATTTCAGAAGCCGTCTCTTGGACATTCTGGGCCTTCGGGAAGAAGAACTATCGCTTTCGGACAAATGGCAAACTATGATTGCGTTCACTGGGAAGCCCGAGCATTCTGACCTCCGACCCCTGTCTCTGATCACGTCCTTGGGTAGAACTTGGACACGACTCAGACAAGGCCTCGCTCGTTCCTGGGAGCAACATCAGATCTCGGCTTTTTGGGGCTGCTCGGCTAAAGAATGCGACGCTGCAGGTTGGGGCACAACATTATGACCCACTATGCGAATACTATCGACTTCGACACTGGGGCCCTGTTCACCGACCCCCAGAAATTCGGTGGACGGATTTCGCATTCCAGGTTGTTCGAAGAAGCTATCGCTGTCGAGTTTAACCTCAAGCTTTATATATATAGCGTGCTCTTTCTATTCGGGACCTCGGTGCTTCGCCTTCAACGAAGCCTTCCCGGATGCATTTCGGGCTGATGGAACTACATCGGCAGGATGTTCATTCGCCGCAAGTCTAGTTCAAGTGTTGCTTTATCGACTATAGGTTTCGGTAGCAAATAAATTCCCAGCCGCCCCAGTAAGGAACGTAGTCGATTATGTACATGCACAGTGCCGGGGATCATGCGTCTTGTTGCTGAACACTGAGGAGGTGCTGGGCGAATGCTGGATGCAGGCCATCGTCGCCTGGAGCTGGTCTTGACAACCCACAAGACCCACTTCATTGCCTCCAGCACCGAGCTAGAGGACTCTCTCTCTGAATGCTGAGTGGAAGGGCTACGGCTTTGCGAGGAAAAACCACACACGCGACCCCTCGGCACGGACTCCCATCCTTCCAAGAGGCGAGTGTTGCACACTGCTGGCACGATCGATCAAGCTCTTGAAGTTAACGCATGCCAGTTCGAAAATAAGCCAAATACAGAGATCAGGTCCATAGGGCACAGCTCTTTGGAGCCCTGGTGTATCATGGCTAAGCGGTCGACATATCCATAATCTGAGGCGTGCTGCAGAGACCAGCCTTCGCGTGGACAAAAAGGGTGCGTCTGTTGGCCTCGAGCTGGCCGCTGCTAAGATCGGCCGCGTCATGGGCCCCCCGCTGCCTCTACCGCTCCCAGGTCATCGGTTTTTTGGGCGCGCGCTGTTAGGGTAGGCAGGCCCCCGCTAGGCATCCCCCAGGCTGCGACGGTTTCGGCTACCGATGACCTCGAGCGGGCCCATAACCCGTGGGCGTCGGCGGCCAGTCCTGCCCACGTTCGTTCGTTGTCTGTCCAACGGCTGGGCTGGTCGGCGCTGGCAGCCGATCGTATCAGCATCGGCGCTGGGGAGGAAATTTGTCTCACCCATCTTGCCCCTAAACAGGTGGCGCGGCTGGCCCATCGAGCTGCTCGCAATGTGTCGGACGTGGCCGCTCTCAGCAACTTGGAAGAGCCGCCTGGCTAGACTCGCCCGATTTTCAGGCGCCCCCTGGCTGGGTTCCTGGAGGGCCGCGTATCGGGCGCAAGGACAACCGGGCGCCAGTCTAGCATTCGCTCGCCTGCTTCTCAGCAACACTGGCGCCGGGCTAAGCAAGAGCGTCGCACAAAGTCCGAGGCTGATGTGCCAGGCGTGTGCAAATAAACCAGGAACCCTCTGGCATAGACGTTTCATCTGTCCACATTAGGCCGCCGACCGTGGGAAGCACTGTAGCCCGCGACTGCTCCGCTGTGCGGCGGTGCTCCAGCTGACGGGGCAGGATCTCGAAAAAGGCTGCTTGTGGCAATTTCTCCATGCCGATAGAGGCTGCGCATCGGCCCTTGTGGAGCAATGAATGCAATATACGATGGGTTAGGCAGGCCGAAGTTGGATACCTCACTGGAGATGTACTGACGGCTCTGGCACCCACTCATCTGGCCCCCTTTTCCAGGAGAGCTGGCTGGCCCCTCGCCCAGCTTGCTGACGACGCCCCCCTTTTTGGAGCTGTGTGCGGGGCGGTGTCTTGGGACCTAGGGCCGTTCCAGGCGGCGCGAGATGGGGGGGATGTTGCTATCCTCCAGAGGCCTCGTGCGAGGCGATGCCGTCTTCCATATAGCTGCCAAGGCACGATTGAGGCTGTCAATGATAAGCACTATTCCACTTCGGCCAGGCACTCAAGGTGCCACCTCTGTGAAGAAATCCATGGGAAGTCCCTGCCCATCAGTGCTGTCAAGGCGAAAGCGCATTTGCCCAGAGCTGCAGTTGATGAAGGTAGGATTTCTGATTACGAATGGAGCGGCAACCCAGCCGCTGACATATATGCAGGTCGCGGTGTCAACCGACATTCTAACACCACTGAATGCAAGCACGCACTCGATGCCCTCGGTGATATTGCCGAGGAATTCGCACGTTGGGCTGCCACTCAAGAGGTTTGGATGGCCGAGCGTGAAAATTACGACGCCCTTCCTCCCCTTCCTCGTGGGTCCTCGGGGGTGGAGGTGGGCGGGCAAACCAATTCCTCTTCTAGGAGCTGTCAGAAGAGGCCATAGCGCCCAACGCGAGAGCTGGCTACTGAGGTCTCAGAAGAACTCAACACGCTCGTTGCCCTCCAAGGACACACTCTAAGACAGGCCGGGGTTGTTCTTCCCTCTGGCTTGCCGCCCGCTCCGCCTAAGTGCCCCTCGGTCCTAGTCTGTGCTGCTTGCGGAGGATATGCTTGGAAGGCGGTCCCCGGCATCGCCAAACCTTGCAATACGCAATCGTGCCCGCAAGTTGCAGTTCCCCTGTGGCTCTCGCCAGAAAAGTGGCTGGTCGGTGGGGGCCTGGAGGACCCCCACCCCGCAGGCGATCGCGGCCATGTTAGCCCCCAAAGCTGCCAGCTTGTGTGGCCGTGTGCGCACGCCCGATTTCTCCCTTCCAAATGTGGCGGTGTGGGGGGGAGTGGTGGGCTATCGATCAGATTGCGGTTGCCTTTGGCCTGTTTGCAGAAGGTTTGGCTGCAGCTACCTCGGATAAGGCCGAGGAGGCAATGCGTAATGCCTTCAGAACGTCAGAGGAAGACCAACAATAACACGTTGTGTTTGTTCCCATATGTTTTCAGAGGTATACCTACTATATGTAGTGTATCTTCTTGAACCCTTGGATTGCCTCTGGTGCCTCAGGATGTGCGATGCTGATAATGATAAAGAGGAGGAGGAGGAAGAGGAGGAAGAGGAGGAAGAGGAGGAAGAGGAGGAGGGTAAGGAGGAGGAGGGTAGGAGGAGGAGGAGGAGGAGGAGGAGGAGGAGGAGGAGGAAGAGGAGGAGGAGGAGGAGGAGGAGGAGGAGGAGGAGTAGGCGGAGGAGGAGGAGAAGAGGAGGAGGGAGGAGGAGGAGAGGAGGAGAGGAGGAGGGTAGGAGGAGGAGGAGGAGGAGGAGGTAGGAGGAGGAGAGAGGAGGGAGGAGGAGGAGGAGGGGGAGGGGGAGGAGGAGGAGCAGGAGGAGGAGGAGGAGGAGGAGGAGGAGGAGGAGGAAGAAGAAAAAGAGGAGGAGCAGGAGCAGGAGCTGCAGCAGCAGCAGGAGCAGAAGGAAGAGGAGGAGGAGGAGGAGGAGGAGGAGGAGGAGGATGGGGAGGAGGACCAGAAGGAGGACAGGAAGAGGAGCAGCAGCAGCAGCAACAGGAGCAGGAGCAGGAGCAGGAGGAACAGGAAGAGGAGGGAGGGGAACGAGGGAGGAGGAGGAGGAGGACGAGGGAGGAGGACGAGGAGGAAGAAGAGGAAGCAGAGCAAGAGGCGGAGAAGGCGGAGGAGGAACAGGAAGAGGAGGGGGATGAGGACGAGGAGGAGGCGGGGGAAGATGCCTTTCGTGCCTGGCCCCCCAGATCTGAAGGTACATCATCGGCTCGGGGCACGTGAGGGTGCTGCGGAAGGGCAGCGAGGCGCGGAAGACGGGGTTGGGCGCCTTCCCGGAGCGCGTTCCCGCTGGGGTTTCGGGGCGGATCCAGCTGGGGCGACTTGAGCGCCCCCATCAGCAAGCCCCAAGCAATGTACAGAAACATCGAAATGCCTCCGCCCTCCGCTTCCCCTTCCCCCCTCCTCCGCATCCTCCCGGACGGGCCGGGGCGTTTCGCCTGAGACTTCCTCGCCATTGGCTATTTTGAGGCTCAGAATCTGCAGCAGTTTCACGGATGGAAGGCAGCCAGGTCTTCAAAATGTGGCTCTCGCCTCAGCGCCAGACACATTATTTCCAACATCTGGCAAATTCACGGATGGAGGGTGGGCTGTTTTCAACATGCGTCTCTCGATTTAGCGCCGCGCACATTCGTTTTAAACGTCTGCAAGATCTTCACTGATGGAGGGCGGGTTGTTCTCAAAACGTGGTTCTCGCTTTAGTGTCGCGCACATTCGTCCTAAACTTCCCTGGAAGTTCCAAAGAATCTCGCGATTGTCGTCTGAGGAATGGCGTTCTGGCGCGATTTAGGATTGTCAGGGCGCGACCGTCACGTCAAGTCGATTCGCGATGTTGGCATCTCAGGAACGGTGTTTTGGCATGATCTAGGCTCATCAGGACGCAGCACCAACGTTGATTCGCGGCGTTGTAATCCCAGGAATTGTGTTTTGGCACGATTGGGGGCTCTCAGACAGTTGTCTTCCAACGGGGGATTTCCTGCAGTCAACCCTCCTCTCTCCTCCTCCTCCTCCTCCTCCTCCTCCTCCTCCTCCTCCTCGTCCTCGTCCTCCTCCCCCTCCTCCTCCTCCTCCTCCTCCTCCTCCTCCTCGTCCTCCTCCTCCTCCTTCTCCCCTCCTCCTCCTCCTCCTCCTCCGCTCCCCCTCCTCCTCGTCCTCCCCTCCCCCTCCTCCTCCTCACTCCCCCTCCCCCTCCTCCTCCCTCCTCCTCCTCCTCCGCCTCCTCCTCCTCCTCCTCCTCCTCCTCCTCCTCCGCCTCCCTGCCTCCCTCCCTTCCCCTCCCTCCTCCTGCTCGCCCCCCCTCCTTTTGACGAGGCGTGGAAGATGGGCCCCGGCGCCGTGATCGGCGAGGCCCAGGCTCTCGGCCTGGTGCTGCGGCGCAGCGTGACGGTGATCGCGGCGGAGACCTGCCTGGTGCAGGCGCGGGTGGGCAGCTCCAGCTAGCGGGGATCAGCGCCCTCCTCCACCTCCTCCTCCTCCTCCTCCTCCTCCTCCTCCTCCTCCTCCTCCTCCTCCTCCGGGGAAGCAGGAGGAGGAGGAGGAAGAGGAGGAGGAGGAGGAGGAGGAGGAGGAGGAGGAGGAGGAGGACGAGGAGGACGAGGAGGAAGAGGAGGAGGAGGAGGAGGAGGAGGAGGAATTGGAGAGGCAGGAGGATGAGGAGGAGTGAGGTCCTGCACCAGAGCGTGCTGGTTCGTGCCCTCGAGATGTTCCCGGACCAGCGGGCCAAGGCGCTGGGGCGGGGAAAGCCGTCCCGCTGCACCAAAGGAGCATCCGCATGGCCCAGTCTGGGCTTTGCCGATCGGGCCGGACGAAAGGGGAGGATTGGGAAAGGGGGGGTTACGAAATTTGCTGCATGCAGCTGGTTGCGGCCCGCGGCCTCACCGAGGGGCCCATTCCTCGATACGTAGCCGCCTCCGGCGCCGGGAAAATCAGCTGCGTGAGCTGATTCTCACCCCCCCCCTTTGCTATCCCCCCCTTTCGCCCAACCCGAGCCGAGTTCCCGGTGGATTCTGCGCGGCATCCGCCAAGACTCGGGCCCGAACCGCAGACGTCCGTGGGCTGCCGGCAGCGCGGGCGTTTGGTGATACGATTGTCCTTTTCCAGTGCGGCTGACGCGCAAGATGATTATGATGATGATGATGATGATGATGATGATGATGATGATGATGATGATGATGATGATGATGATGATGCTGATGATGATGATGATGATGATGATGATGATAGTGATGATGAGGATGAGGATGAGGATGATGATAATGATGATGATGATGGTGATGAGGATGATGATGTGGGTGTTGGTGATGGTGATGGTGATGGTGATGGTGATGTTGACGATGAAGATGCTGACGATGATGACGATGATGATGATAATGATGATGGTGCCGATGATGATGATGTTGATTGTATGATGATGATGTTGGTGGTGGTGTGATGATGATGGTGATGACGACGATGATGATGACGATGATGAGTATGCTGAGGATGATGATGGTGATGATGATGCTGATGATGATGACGACGGCGACGATGATGATGATGGTGGTGGTGGTTGTGATGATGGTGATGATGCTGATGATGATGCTGACGATGATGATGATGCTGATGATGATGATGATGATGTTGATGATAATGATGGTGACGACAACAATGATGGCGCTGATGATGATGAAGATGATGTGGGGTATGGTGGTGATGATGGTGCCAGTCCTGATGATGCTGATGATGTTGATGATGATTGTAATGCTGATGGTGTTGATGGGGCGGATTATGATGATGGTGGTTATGGTGGAGATGATGCTGTTGCTGATGATGATGGTGGTCGTGCTTGTAGATGGTGGTGTTGAATTGGATGATATGGACGTCAATGATGAGGCTAGGGCTAATGCTGCTGATGATGGTGACACGTCACCCTCAACAATTATCATTAACATAATAGTTAAACTCATCATCACCATAATCATCATCATCATCATCAGGATCATCATCATCATCATCATCATCATCACCATCATCATTATCATCATCACCACCACAATTATCATCATCCTCAACACCATCACCATCAGCATCACCAGCATTACCACCATTATTATCATCATCATCGTCATCGTCGTCATCATCATCATCATCATCATCATTCGCATCATCACCATCGTCATCATCAGCATCATCATCGTCATTATCATCATCGTTCGCCTCCTCCTCATCATCATCATCAACAACATCAGTACCATCAGCATCATCAGCATTATCATCATCAATATCAGTATAATCATCATCATCATCAGCATCATCATCATTATCATCATCGTCATCGTCATCATCATCATCATTATCAACATCATGATCATAATCCTCAATCCATCCTCCCCCAATGCCATGGTCGTGCTTTCGCTTCTGGTCTTCTGTTCCGTCTGAGATTCCTCCTCCCCCTCGCGGCCGCATCGGCTCGAGCGCCTCTCATCGCTGGCCCCTCTTCGCGGGTCAGCGGCGATGTCCAGCGCTACCTCGAGTACAGCCCCCCTCCGAGTCTGAGCCAGCGGCGGCGTCTAACTCAACTGGGGAGGTGTCGAGTCCAGTCCTGGCTGAACCCCGCAGTGCACCCGCGAGCAAGTCGGACCGGGCGGCTGCTCAGAGCAACTCTTAAGTCGGGCCAGTCCCTCTACTGGAGGAAAATTCAAAAATAGTAAAAAATAGTCAGGGGACGATTTTTCGACTCTCTTTGACTATTTTGAACATTTTCGGAGTATTTTGCATTTTTCGTCCAAAATCCGCCTGTAGGGGGACGTGCCCGACCTAAAGCAATTCTGATGTTGCGCCGAACAAGTCTGACGATGGCGACAGCGAGGCCGAGGCTGTCGGAGCGTCGGCGAAGTCCCCCCGCAAGGCCGAGGCCGAGGCCGGCGTGAAGTCCGATGATTCCGAGGCTAAGGTGGTGCCCGCGGTCGCGTCGGGGGGGGCCCAGCACCGATCCGAGGAGCTCGCGCGGAGCTCCAGAAGTTCATGTTTATAGGAGGAGGGGAGGAGGAGGAAGGGGGGGAGGAGGAGGAGGAGGAGGAGGAGGAGGAGGAGGAGGAGGAGAGGAGGAGGAGGAGGAGGGGAGGAGGAGGAGGAGGAGGGAGGAGGAGGAGGAGGAGGAGGGAGGAGGAGGAGGAGGAGGAGGAGGAGGAGGAGGAGGAGGAGGAGGAGGAGCGGCGTCCTCTTGAGGGTCTCCCTGCGTCCAGGGCCAGAGGGCCCAGCCCACAGCTGGCCCATAGTCCGCAGAGCCTTCCAACCCGCTGGGGGAAGCGCCATCTTCGTGAGCGTCGCCTCTCTACGAAGCCAGCCCCTACAGTCATCGGCCTGACCTAAGGAACGATATATAAGGAACGAAACTCCTTTTTTCTCCAGGGAGTAACGCATAAGGAACGATACCTCATCAATAACGTATACGGGACGATGAATAACGCATGCAAGCCTAAAGAACGACTGAGCCCCTTTTGAAAAGTTAGTGTTCCTTAGTCAAGCCGCTCCTACAGGCGGGGCGCTGAAGAAGGAACCCGTTCTGTTGGGGAGGGGCTCAGTGTTCCTTAGTTGTTTTGCAGCTGGCCTCAGGTATTCCTTGGACTCTCGATGCCTTGGACTCTCGGTGGGAAGTCGAAGCTGACTTATGGAATAGAGGGGCCTCGTTCCTTATTTAGGGTTCCTTAGGTCAACGCCCCAACTGTAGCTCGCCCACAGAGGCGGCAGAGGCCTCCGGCCCACCGGAGGAGTCGCCATTCCTGTCAGGGTCGCCACTCCTCGACGGCCAAAGCGCTCAGCCCACGGCTGGCCCAACACAGTTGGCAGAGCCCTCCGGGCCGCTGGGACGAGCGCCGTCCTCGTGAGGGCTGTGACTTTTCACCGGCCAGCGCGCTCAGCCAACAGCTGGCCCGCGGAGCCAGCAGAGCCCTCTGGCCCTCCGGGAGGAGCGCCTTGCTTGTGAGGGTCGCCATTTTTCCCAACCATCTTGTGGTGTTGGGTCCTCGTTTTGAAGAGACGGTCCCCGCGTTCTCCTCCCCCTCCTCCTCCCCCTCCTCCTCTCTACCGTGCGCATGCGTCCCGCACACCCAGTACAGCGTTTCGTGGCCCCGTAGGGAGCCCCACCGAAGGTCCCAGTGCTACCGTCCGCATGCGTCCCGCACACCCAGTACAGCGCTTCGTGGCCCCATAGGGAGCCCCACCGAAGGTCCCAGCGCTACCGTCCGCATGCGTCCCGCACACCCAGTACAACGTTTCGTCGCCCTCCTCTCCTTCCTCCCTGCGTTTCACCCACCCAGTACGGCGCTTCGTGGCCCCATAGGGAGCCCCACCGAAGGTCCCAGTGCTACCGTCCGCATGCGTCCCGCACACCCAGTACAGCGTTTCGTGGCCCCATAGGAGCCCCACCGAAGGTCCCAGCGCTACCGTCCGCATGCGTCCCGCGCACCCAGTACAGCGTTTTCGTGGCCCTCCTCCCCCTCCTCCCTGCGTTTCGCCCACCAAGTACAACGCTTCGTGGCCCCATAGGGAACCCCACCGAGGGTCCCAGTGCTACTACCGTCCGCATGCGTCCCGCACACCCAGTACAACGTTTCGTGGGCCCGTACGGAGCTCCATCGGAGGTCCCAATGCTACCGTCCGCATGCGTCCCGCACACCCAGTACAGCGTTTCGTGGCCCTCCTCCCCCTCCTCCCTGCGTTTCACCCACCCAGTACAGTTTCGTGGCCCCATAGGGAGCCCCACGAAGGTCCCAGTGCGACCGTCCGCATGCGTGCCAGTACAGCGTTTCGTGGCCCTCCTCCCCCTCCCTCCTTGCGTTTCCCACATCCAGTACAGCGTTTCGTGCCCATGGGGAGCCCCACCCACCGAAGGTCCCAGTGTTACCGTCCGCATGCGTCCCGCACGCCCAGTACAGCGCTTCGTGGCCCCATAGGGACCCCACCGAAGGTCCCAGTGCTACCGTCCGCATGCGTCCCGCACACCCAGTACAGCGTTTCGTGGCCCTCCTCCCCCTCCTCCCTGCGTTTCACCCATCCAATACAGCGCTTCGTGGCCCTATAACCCCACCGAAGGTCCCAGTGCTACCGTCCGCATGCGTCCCGCACACCCAGTACAGCGCTTCGTGGCCCCATAGGGAGCTCCACCGAAGGTCCCAGTGCTACCGTCCGCATGCGTCCCGCGCACCCAGTACAGCGTTTCGTGGCCTTCCTCCCCCCCCTCCCTGCGTTTCACCCACCCAGTACGGCGCTTCGTGGCCCCATAGGGATCGAAGGTCCCAGTGCTACCGTCTGCATGCGTCCCGCACGCCCAGTACATCGCTTCGTGGCCCCATAGGGAGCTCCACCGAAGGTCCCAGTGCTACCATCCGCATGCGTCCCGCACACCCAGTACAGCGTTTCGTGGCCCTCCTCCCCCTCCTCCCTGCGTTTCACCCATCCAATACAGCGCTTCGTGGCCCCATAGCCCCCCGAAGGTCCCAGCGCTACCGTCCGCATGCGTCCCGCACGCCCGGTACAGCGTTTCGTGGCCCCATAGGGGGCCCCACCGAATGTCCCAGCGCTACCGTCCGCATGCGTCCCGCACACCCAGTACAGCGTTTCGTGGCCCCATAGGGAGCTCCACCGAAGGTCCCAGTGCCCCGTCCGCATGCGTCCCGGAAGCCCAAGTTGGCATTTTCGCTCACCCAGTGCAGCGTTTCGTGGCCCCATACGGGGCTCCACCCAAGGCCCCGGTGCCACCGTCTGTATGCGTCCGGCAAATGTAATTTGGCATTTTCACCCGCGCAGTGCCGCGTTTCGTGGCCCTATAGGGGGCTCCACCGAAGCCCCCAGTGGGACCGTCCGCATGCGCTCCGGAAACCCAGTTTGGCATTTTCACTCACTCAGTAGAGCGCTTCGTGGCCCCAAAGGGAGCTCCACCGAAGCCCTCAGTGGGACCGTCCGCATGCGTCCCGGAAACCCAATTCGGCACACCACCCGCACAGTACAGCGTTCCCCCCCGCCCAGTGCGGCGCTTCGTGGCCCCATAGGGAGCTTCACCGAAGCAGATATTCACAATTACGGTACCCACAACTGCATATGGTTGGGACCTTCGCCAGGATAACTTTTCGGCGTCCGAGGCGCCCGGCCCGCAGCCGTCCCACAGAGGCGGCGGAGGCCTCCTGCCCACCAGGAGGGGCGCCATCTCTTTGTGCAAGTCGCCCTGCCTCGAGGGCCGAAGCGCCCGGCCCACGGCTGGCCCCCAGAGGCGGCAGAGGCCTCCAGCCCGTCGGGAGAAGCGCCACCATCCGCGTGAGGGTCGCCAGCTTTCGAAGGGATCACTGCGCCGAGCCCACAACCGGCCCCACGGAGGCGGCGACGGCCTCGGGCCCGCAAGGAGGGGCGCCATCCTTTTGTGAGAACCGCCCTCCTTCGGAGGCCGAAGCGCCTGGCCCACAGTTGGCCGCCCACCAAGCCACCCCAACCCAACCCGAAGGCCCCAAGTTGCCCTCCACTTCCAGAGGGGGGGGTTCGGGGAGCATTGGGAAAACACGTATGGAGTCCGTACCCCCCCCACCAACCCGAAATCCGGGCGAAATGCGAGTCTTCGGGTTGGGCTGGGGTGGTTTGGCAGGTTGTCAACAGTTGGCCCACACAGCCGACAGAGCCCTCCAGCCCGCTGGGAGGAGCGCCATCTTTTGTGAGAGCCGCCGCTCTTCGAGGGCCAGGGCGCCCGGCCCGCAACCGGCCCAGAGGGCCTGTAGAGTTAAGTCGGGCGTGTCCCCCTACAAGGGGATTCTCGACCAACAAATGTATAATACACCAGAACTAGTCAAGAAATTGGGGACTATTTTTGGAGTGACTCGTAGAGCTTCCCTAAGAGCGTTAGCGGCGAAGCTAGAAGAGTAATTCCGGCGCGCTGGGGGGCTAGTTGGCAAAAACATTTCGACGGAAATATTGCATAATTCTGCTTGGTTTAAATTCGATTTCTCGAAATTCAACCATTCGTTAGAGCTCTAGTATTTGTTCCTTCCATATTCGATCTTATTCCCGCTCGCCATCTGAATCTCAGCTCGATCGGGTACCTACTACTGCCAAAAAGCACTCAGGCGGGATCGGCTGTTCAGTGCCATCTTAACAGGTGCTGTCGGTTTTCTCAACTTAACTCGAGCTGTAGATGAGCTACAGAGCTGGCATGCACACCTAATTCATCTAGAATCATCAGGCGCGTTCGTCTCAAGTATCTAGCTGTATGAACTCGGTCTGCTACCAGAACTGGGCCCGCAAAACTATTTGTACTCTGATAATTTTCTTGGAGATGCTGATGAGTTTCTTCAGATAGCTCGAGCTGCAGATGAGCAGCAGAGCTGTTTGGCACAGCAGTCAAAAGAGAATCATCAGGCGCGCTAGTCTACAGTATCTAGATGCCCGAACTCGGCCTGCCGCCAAAGCTGGGTCCGAAAAGCTATTCGTACTCTGCAATTTTCTTATGGTGATGGTTTTCTGGACTTAACTCGAGCTAGAGACGAGCTACAGAGCTGCTCGTCAGAGCAATCGAAAAGGAAATCATCGGAAGCGCCAGTCTCGAGTATCTATATGCCCGAAGTCGGTCTGCTTCCAGAGCTGGGTCCGAAAAACTGTCGTACGCTGCTAATTGTTTAGACATGTAAATGGTTTTCTTCATTAAACTCGCGCGGGAGATCGGCTACTGAGCTGGTAGGCGCACCCAATCCATGTAGAATCGTCAGGCGGGCTTGTCTGAAGTATCTACATGTCTGAAGATGGTCTGCTACCAGAACTGAGTCCGCGAAATTATTCGTACCCGGTTTTTTTTTGTTTTCGAAATGATGGTGAGTTTCTTGGTTGAACTCGAGCTGCAGATGAGCTACATACCTGTTTGGCACAGCAGTCGAAAGACGATCATCCGACGCGCTAGTCTGAAGTATCTAGATGCCTGAATTCGGTCTGCTACCAGAGCTGGGTCAAAAAAACTACTTGTGCTCTGCATTTTTACGAGATGGTGATGGGTTTCTCGACTGAAATGGAGCTAGAGATGAGCTACAGAGCTGTTTGTCACATCAGTCAAAAGAAAAAATCAAATGCGCTAGTTTATAGTAGCTATACGCCCAAACCCGGTCTGCTACCAGAGTTCGGTCTGAACAACTATTCGCACTCTGTCGAGAGATGATGGTAAGTGTATTGAGATAACTCGAGCTGCAGATGAGCGACTGAGCTGGATGGAAATGATCAGACGCGCTACAATCAAGTATCTAGATGCCCGAACTCGTCACGCTTCCAGATTTGGAACCAGAAAACTATTCGTACTCTGTTTTTTCTTCAGAGATGACAATGCCTTTATTGATCCTTCCCCTCCTTCTGCTCCTCCTGCTCCTCCTCCTTCTCCTCCTTCTCTTGCTCACCCTCCTTCATCTGTTTTCTCCTCTTTTCTTTTATTCCTCCAGTCCTCCTCCATGAAACGGCACCCTCGCGCGCGCGGAATGCGAGATTGCTGCGCCCGCATTGCACGAGGAAACTCTACGAGTTCCCGGCGGTAACCAAGGTTGACGGTTTACCGCCGGCTCCCAGTATTTTTTGACCATTTGGGAGTATTTCTTGAATGTTTTTATTGTTCGTCGAGAATCCCTTTGTAAGGGGACACGCCCGACTTAACTGTAGAGGTTTCCGGCCCACCAGCCAGGCGCCATCCTTGTGAGGGTCGCCGCGTTCCCACAGCTGGCCCACAGAGCCAGCAGGGGTCTCCGATGACGCAAGTCTTGATGGCAGGTATACAGAGATTCAGTTCTGCTAGATCACACTCGGGGAACAGCCGCGCCAGCAACGATGACAGAGCAGCCACATGAAAGGTACTGGCAACATCTTCAAGAACCGCATGAAAATGGCAGCAGGAAGAGCCATACGAAAACAACACGCATAACGGCAGCAATAACAACATAATCGCAGGAACAGCAACGACGACATGAGCAACGGTATGAGGATCAGTAGCAGCATCAGCCTGACTCGCATCAGTTCTGGAATGACAAGAACAGTATCAACATATCAACAGTCATATTCACAACAGCAGCCACAACAGCATAACAACCACTTGAACAGCAACGGCAGGCAGCACGAGCAGCAGCCGCACCACGCCGCCACAACATAAAAAACCACGTGGACAGCAACGACGACATGACCACCGGCCGCAGCATGGGCAGCCCCGGCGACTTCAGCAGCAGCCGAATGAGCGGCAACCTCATCAGCAAGGTAGGAACGGACAGCAACCTCATAAGCAAGGCCGGCAGAGGTCTCCAACCTCCAGCTCTTATGACCATGTAGGAACCTTTATTATGCTAGAGCATGCTCGTGGAATCCAAGTCGCTACTCCTCGATCGGGGGCGCCTGTCCCAGGGCGGCTGAACAAATTCTACCCAACGTGACACTGTTATGGTACAAACTTTACAGCCCAGTTGCTCCTAAATTTCGAGAGCTGTGCTGCAGCTATAGCCCTAAAAATTGCAGCACAAAGCGCGCCATGACCAGCTACGGGCAATGAACATTTGCGTTTCCATAACGATCGGTCAAATCTTTCACAATCTTCCGAAAACCGCAGGTCGTCACATTCTCCCAGGCGGCCCGGGGGGCAGGCGTCCCCAACGGCAGAACAGGTTGTCATATGCCGCTCTCCGCCCGCGAATCCCGAAGGTGCTGGCCATGATCAGCGACCAGTGCAGGGCGGGGCTGCTGCGCCGCCCCGACGCCCCCGCGGCGGAGGGCGCTCCGCCGATGGGGCCGGTCAAGACCGGGGCCAGCGTGGCGAGCCTGCCGGGCGGCCCCATGGGGAACGTCAAGACAGGTGCCCTCCTCCTCCTCCTCCTCCCTCCCTCCTCCTCCCTCCTCCCTCCTCCCTCCTCCCTCGTCCTCTCCTCCTCCTCCTCCCTCCTCCCCTCCTCCTCCCTCCTCCCTCGTCCTCCTCCTCCTCCTACTACTCCTCCTCCTCCTCCTCCTCCTCCTCCTCCTCCGACCGGGGCCAGCGTGGCGGGCCTGCCCGGCGGCCCCACGGGGAACGTCAAGACAGGCGCGCGGCGCGGAAAGACGGGCTCGACTTCGCCGACGTTCGCGCGCGAGCTTCACGTGGAGGGTCGCGCGTACAGTGCCGTTTTTTATACATGCTCCGCGTGCGGATCATGTATTAAAAATGCAGGGATTTTGTATTAAAAACAACGATCAGTTCATGCATCAATTTATTCATAGATTAGTTCAGGGATCAGTTCAGCGGAGGTCCGCGCGGATTTCCCGGCTCCGCGCTGGACCCCCCTGGCGGCGCCTCCGGCGCCGACCCTGGCGCGCTCCGCGCGCCAGGGAGGGGGTCCAGCGCCGATCCGAGAGATCCGCGCGGACCTCCGAGTCTTTATGGTTATGCCATTGCTTGTTCCCCTAAGAAAGACGGGCTCGACTTCGCCGACGGTTGGCGCGCGAGCTGCCCCGCGCAAAGGGTCGCGCGTGATAGGCTCTCGTCTCCAGGGCAGCGCTCCGCCCTGGCTGCCCGCGAGAGCCACCCGCGCGAGGTCGCCATGGCATCTCGCGCAAGGCCCTCCTCCTCCTCCTCCTCCTCCTCCTCCTCCTCCGCCTCCTCCTCGTCTTCCTCCTCCTCCTCCTCCTCCTCCTCCCTCACCCTCCTCCTCCTCCTCCTCCTCTTCCTCCTCCTCCTCCTCCGCTCAGGTTCCAACCCCGCCATCTCCGCCATGCAGGATGCGGCCGCGTTTTTCATTCGGATGCATCTCCTGGGGGGTGGACCTCGGCATCGGCGCTGGCAGAGCCGTGGTCGAGAGCCGACGCGATCCCGCGGCGTTGTGTGTGCAGTCCCGCTGCATCCGGCTTGAGTCTTGGGCTTCGCGTGGGCACATCCGGCTTCGTTGCGTTTTGAGACGGCTTGATCGCCCTCAAGCGTTCTTGCAAAGACCTCCCAGGAGCTGTCTCCTAACTTGGAGGAGGATGAGGAGGATGAGAAGGAGCAGAAGAAGATGGAGATGGTGGAGGGGGAGGAGGAGGAGGAGGAGGAGGAGGAGGAGGAGGAGGAGGAGGAGGAAGAGGAGGAGGAGAAGAAGGGGGAGCCTGTAGACGTCGTTTATATGGGAGGGGCATTTCCCAGCCTCACAGCAGGGCGTCGGAGGAGGAGGAGGAAGAGGAGGGACGATAATACTTATCATTTGTGAGAGTGATGAAGATGATACTGCTTATGCTGCTGATGCTGATGATGATGGTGGTAATGAAAAGTTGATGTTGATGATTATAATGATGATGACGACGAAGCTGATGGTGATGATGCTGATGCTGATCATGATGATGATGCTGATGATGATGGTGATGATGATGATGATGATGATGGTGATGCTGGTGATAGTAGTGGTGATGATAGTGGTGATGAGGCTTATGGTGGTGGTGGTGACGATGGTAGTGTTGATGATGATGATGATGATGATGATGATGATGATGATGATGATGATGATGATGATGATCATGATGCTGTTGATAATTATGGTGATGGTGATGGTGGTGATGGTGATGGTGATGCTGATGCTGCTCATGATGATAGTGGTGATGATGATAATGATGATGATGATGATGATGGTGATGATGTTGATGGTGGTGATGGAGATGGCGGTGATGATGATGATAGTGATGGTGATGGTGATGGTGATGCTCATGTTGATGGTGATGGTGATGGTGATGGTGAGTGTGCTGGTCGGGGTGATTGTGATGATAGTGATGCTGATGGTGATGGTGATGCTGGTGACTGTGATGGTGATGTCGGTGGTGATAAGGATGATGATGGTGGTGATGGTGATGGGGTTTTGCTGATAAGGAAGAGGACCGGAAAGGAGCAGGAGCCTGGAGGAGTCGTCCCTCCAGGGGGGCACCGAGGGGCAGGCAGGAGAAGGAGGAGGAGGAAGGGAGGAGGAGGGAGGAGTGAAGGAGGAGGGAGGAGGGAGGAGGAAGGAGGGAAGGAGGAAGGGAAGGAGGAGGAGGGGAAGGAGGAAGGGAGGGAGGAGGGCGCAGGGAGGAAGGGAAGCAGACGGGGAAGGAGAAGGGAGGAGGCACTCCAAGGAGGAGGGTGGGCGCCGAGGGTGGAGTGTCCCCCGCGGCCCGTGGGCCACGCGGGGAAGATGCGCTCCCCCCCCCCCCCCAAAGCCCCGCGCCGCCGAGGAGATGATGGAGAGATCGTCCTTCCTGCGCGAGTTCCCCAGGTCGTTCCCTCCTCCTCCTCCTCCTCCTCCTTCTCCTCCTCCTCCTCCTCCTCCCTCCTCCTCCTCCTCCTCGTCGCTCCTTCTCTCTCCTCCTCCTCCTCCTCCTCCTCCTCCCCTCCTCCTCCTCCTCCTCCTCCTCCTCCTCCTCCTCCTCCCTCCTCCCTCCTCCCTCCTCCCTCCTCCTCCTCCTCCTCTCCTCTTCTTTCCTCCTCCTCCTCCTCCTCCTACTCCTTCTCCCCCTCCTCCTCCTCCTCCTCCTCCTCCTCCTCCTCCTCCTCCTCCTCCTCCTCCTCCTCTTCCTCCTCACATCATCTCTCCCTCCATCCCTCCATCCCTCTTCCCTCCCTCCCTCCTTCCCTCCCTCCCTCAATCCATCCCCCTTCCTCTATCTTAACCATCCTCTCCCTCTCCCTCTCTCTGTGTATTTGTCCCTCTCTTTTGTTCCATCCGCCTCCTTCCCTCGTCCACCTCTTCTCCCTCTTTTACCTCCTCTCCCTCTTTCCCTTCCGTCCTTCCTCACATTTCACCCACTATCACCCACCCACTCACCCATTTCCACCCTCATTTTTTCTCTCCTCCGCAGCGTTGAACGAACGCCTGGTGGGAGGCGTGCGAATCAATATGTGGCTGCATTCCGGATCGGTATCTGACACTTTTATGGATCAGTATTTGCACGGGCCGTGGTTGTTCTGAACGGGCCGTGCAGAAACCAGCACGGCTGCAGGAGAGCAAACGGAAGTGGAGGTTGAGGCCAGTAAGGACACGGGAGAGCGAATGCGAATAAAGCCTGAAACCGTGAAGAGAGCGAAGTGGCCACGAACAACCGAACATCATTGAGTTTGAAACCGTTGAGAGACATGTGGGAGCCAACAGGAAGCAAACGGAAATGCATCCGCAAGAGAGAAGAGCGAGGCCACGGGAGGGCTGCAAACAGTTGAGAGAGCAGCGGGGCCACGGGAGACCAACCGGAAATGACACCTGGGACCGTCGAGAGGAGAGCGGGGCCACGGGAGAGAAAACGGAAGTGAAGCCAGACACCGTCGAGAGATTGGCAAGGCCACGGGAAAGCAAATGGACATAAACACGAAACTGTTGGGAGCCAACGCGGCCACGGGAAAGACCATTGGGGGCCGCCACGGGAGAGACAGAGAGCGAGAGAGAGAGAGAGCAGCAGGGCCACGGGACGAGACGGAAATCAATTTTGGGAATGCGGAAAGAGCAGCGGGGCCATTGGAGAGCAAACACAAATAAGGCCCGAAGCCGTGAGGGCTTGCGCAGGTTCCCACGCAGCCCCTGGACGTCCAGAGCATTTGGAACGGCTTTAAAAAGCGCTGTTTGGCTTGGGAAGCGCTCTTGTTGATTGATCTCGAACTTGTTGCTCATCGATCTGGAATTATACAGTGGGGGCGCGCATCAAGAAGCCATATGCTTTTCGTCAGGGTATCCTGGGTTTCTTTGCTCCTCGCGCTGCGCGGCGACTTCCCGCGGCTGTTGAAGGAGCTGCTGCGTTCAGGGTGCTCCAGGTTTCCCCTCCGGTGCCCCTCGCGCGCGGGGTCTCAGGGTTGGGTTTCTTGCGAGGGTTTCTTGCGGCAGCGCCCGCACTGTATCGAACGTCTACTGATCCGGAGTGGGCGTATACTGATCCAGAATATGGTCAGACATTGATCCGGAGCGGGGTCAGCTATTGATCCATCACCCCCGTCAAGAGCTGGTCGTAGGCAGACAGACGCGCCAGCATAATTAGATTGTAATCGCACGTGTGACGATCGCGCTCAAACCAAGGCGGCGCTCTCTTGGGTCACGGGCGAACCCAGCCGAAGAGAGCAGAGTTGGGGCAAAAGAGAAACACACTCACCCTCGCAGTCCCCCTCACTCTCTCTTTCTCTCCTGCCAGTTCTTCCTCCCTTGCTCTCGCCTCTCCCCCTTCTATCGTCCCTCCTCTTCCTCCTGCCCCCGTTCCTTTCCTCCCTCAATGTCATCGTGCTGTTCCTTCCTCCGGCTCCACCCTCTATGCTTCTGGGCGGTCCCAGGGGCTCATGGTGGCCCTCGGTGGTTGTCGCCCTACCTCCTCCCTCCCCTCCCACCCTCCCTCCCTCTCAGTCGCTTCTTGCTGTATTGGGCTGGTCTGGGCTGGGCCTCCTTCCCCCATTCTCTGCGTCCCTCCCTCCCTCTCCCTCCGGGGGCTCTCCCCCTCTTGCCTCTCCCCGCTCTCCCCTTCCCTCCCGGCAGCGCTGCTCCCTCCGCCGTGCCCTGCAAATGGGGACCCTGCTGGGTTGGGACAGAGCCCACCCGCCGCTCCCCGGAGGCGGAGGCGGAGGCGGAGGCGGAAGAGGAGGACGAGGAAAAAGAGGAGGAGGACAAGGAGGAACAGGAAAAGGAGGAGGAAGAGAAGGAGGAGGAGGAGGAGGAAGAGGAGAGGAGGAGGAGGAAGAGGAGGAGGAAGAAAAAGAGAAGGCTCTCCCCCCCCCAGCTCCGTTGGGAGTGTCTGCGCTCCCCCTCCTCGGCTGCCAGTCTGCGGTGGTGCTTCGCGCGCGCTGCTCTGCTGGCGGGGCTGTGGGGGGACTCTCTGCGGCCCCCTCCCCTTCGACCCCCGCCCTCTGACCCTCCTCCTCCTCCGCCTCCTCCTCCTCCTCCTCCGCCTCCTCCTCCTCCTCTTCCTCCTCCTCCGCCTCCTCCTCCGCCTCCTCCTCCGTCACCATTCGGCGGGAGTCGGGGACGGTGTGGGTGGGGGGCCGAAAGGTTGACCCCGGACATCAGATTTGGTCCTGGGATCACATGAGTTTAAAATTTTGTATGTTATGTGGTTTCACTGCGACCCTTGACGGACGCCACCTCTCGCGGCCTTGCGGGCCCGCCGCCACGGGTGCGGCGCGGTCCAAGAAGGGTCAGTGTAACCTCGTGCGAATTTCCAAGGGCCTGCACCCGTGCCCCCAGGGGGCGCCTGAAGTGGCCCGATCTCTTCTTTGATGTGGGTGCACATCTTCTTTAGTAGCAAGGACACTGGTCCTCAGTGGTAATCTCCTGGTAATCTCCTCCTCCTCCTCCCTGCCCCCCCCCCACCTCTCTGCGGTTCCGTCCCCTCGGCCCCTCAGCCCCCCGTCTCCGCCCGAGCCCTTCGGCCCCCTTCGCCCCCATTCGCCCCCCCCCTCCCTCCCCGGACGGAGCGCTGCGGGCTCTCTGCCGGCGCGCCTCTTTGTGCCCTCCATCACGGATTGTCCAGCCTGGAGGCACGGTGCCCCGCGCGGGCACTGCCCGTCGCGGGAGGAGTCCTCCCGCCCGGGCAGGCCCGTGAAAAGCAGCTGACCCGAGGATGCGCGCGCCGCCCCTTCGGGCCGCCAGCCAGCATGCTCCTTGCTCCCCTCACCGCCTCCTTGCCTCCATCCATTCCTCCGTCCCTTCTCTCTATGTGTATAGATGTTTCCCTTTCTCTCTCTCTCTCTTTCTCTCTCTCTTTCTCTTTCTCTCTCTCTTTCTTTCTCTTTCGTATGCTGATCAGTATCGTCACGGTCTCCCCCCTTGCAATCCCTCCTTCATCCGTTCCTTCCTGCCTTACTTCCTGCCCGCCCGTCCTGCCTCCCACTCATGCCTATTTCTTCCTCACCTCGCCATCCTCATCTTCTTTCGCAGGCCTACAGGTTGACACCAACACCAATATCGGTGGTGTGCCTCCACCGAGGGACGAAGATCCCGATCTCGGTGATGGTGGTAATCTTATGGCTGCCAACGTGACCGAACTATCACCACCAACACCGAAATCTAGGATTATTTCCCCCCTGTGGAGGCAGCCCCCTGTATTGGTGTTGGTGCCCATTTCCAGGCCTCCCACTCTTCCTTCCCCTTCTCGCCCTTTCCGCGCCCGCCCCCCCAGGTCGTTCCTCCTGGACCTCGCCGCCAGCGCGACGGACCGCATCTTCCTGCCCGGGGAGATAATCATCGAGGACCCGCCGGCGCGCGTGGGCCGTGGCCGTCCGAGAGGGGTGGCTGTTTTTTTGTTCCCTCGGCTTGTGATGTTCCAGCCTACTTCTAGCCTTGATCACCAGCAAGAATAAGAAGTTCGAGCACCAGAGCAAAAAAACACCGAAACGCGAGGGTTTTCACGTGTCGGGCCCTGGGAGACACTGTTGCGACACTCTTTTGGCACTCTTTCGACACTCTTCCGCGTGCTCGGAATGATTTCTGGGATTTGGTCCTTAAGTACGAGGGGCGCAGCATAGTCCTCGGCCTGCTCCTGGCGTGCACGGCCGGATTTCGATCCTTCTTGCGGCAACGCCTTGGGTCGGGTGACCTGAGGCAAGGAGTGTGGTACACCAGCAGACGTGCGACGATCGAAACTGACATCGAAGACCAACACGTGGTTTCCAGGGCACATCAAGTGCTCCATGGACTCCACCGCAGATGTAGGAACGAGCGCTGGCGCTGCAGATGACGTAGTCGATGACTGGTCCTTCCTTGCCCGCATCGCACGTGACGCTGACATTGGGCTCCAGAATGGTCGGGCAACTTAAGTTTCGCGACCAACTTGGACTGTTGCATGAGCGTGGCCTTGACGTTGACATCGCCGACCGCGAAGGGAACTGACAGGAGTTGACCATGGCCCCTCAACTTCTGGAAGCATAGAACGTTCTCTGCTCTGAACCTGACGCTCGGATGGTCGTAGACAGCGACGATGACCACGCAGCACCTTTTCATGTGCACCAATAAATCTGGTTGACATCCATCGAGATGGGGATGCCCAGGTGCTCGCAGGCGCATCGTGGCGGTCTTATTGAAGAACGATTGAATCTGGAAGCGCTTCTTTGCCATGTTCCACTCACCGCCTTCGTTGGAACGGCTCGCCATAACTGCTGAAGCATTGTTCTTCTTCGCACGCGTACCCTGTTTTTCTTGTCCCAGAGCTTGAAGCTAGACTGGACTAGTCAACGTGAGTCTCCCATGCCCCGACGGAATCGAAGCTCTTGGCTGCCAAGAATTGCCAGCTCTTCTCTCCCTTGGCCGTGACACTCGCGAAGCAGAATGAACCTTCACCAGCTGCATGCCCAGCGCCCTCTGGCACCGCCCCAGCGGTGCCGAGTCACAGCTCGTGATTTTTTGGCGGCGGCGGCGGCGGCAGCAGCCTTGCCCTTGTGGTTGGACAAGCCCTTGCCCATGGCCTTGCCCTGCTTCTCCTTCCGCGCCACCAGCGCCGCCCTCTGGGCCGCGACCTTGGTCGGCGACAGCCGCTCCGCCTCCTTGGCGATGCGCTCGGCCGTGATGTCCTCGCTCTCCTCCGCTGCCGGGGCTGCCTAAGCGCCAGGCGCCGTTGCCGTGGTGCCATCGGCTCCACCAGCACTGCCCTGACTTCTAGTCCCTGCGGCAGTCGCACCACCCTCCTTGGCTCCGCGATGTTCGGCCAGTCGATCGTTGACGCTCTTCCTGACCTCCGCAGCCTTGTCTGGCATCTTGGAGATGTGGGTCTTCTTGGACGCTAACTCACTCAGGTCCTTCTGGAGAACCTCGGGGACATTATGCAGCTCGTTCCTCTCGGTCTCCTCGCAGGAACAACTCGTCGTCCCAGGTGACCTGGAACCTCGGCTGCGGCCCGTGCTGAGAAGGACTGGCCACGCCACCGACCCCCTCCGCCTGCGCGAGGGCCTGTGCAGCAGCCTTCTTCATACGCTCCGCCTCAGCGAACGCCTGGGCTGCTACCTTCTCTTTCTCGACCGCGATCGTGAGGCCATCCTGCAAGCGGACCACCGCGGCAATCGCCTGCGTGTGCTTTTGGTCGGCGTCCTTCCACACACTGACTGCCAGGAGCTGGCCCCATCCTTTGACACATGGTTGCTGCCTTGCCCTCTCCCCGGTCTAGGAACATGAAGTTTGACTTTTCGGTTGCAATGATTGCAGCACGAGTGATTCATGAGGAGTCGATCGTTCCCTTCAACAATTCCGCACCCATTGCATTGCGACCACACTTTGGAAATAGTGGAACTCCCACTCATCGCTACAAGGGAATGTAATGGAGATGTCTTCCGCCGTTTCTGGTCAACACTAGAAGCTCACAGCTGGTGCACCGAAGTGCGGTTCCCCAAGCACCCCATGGAGACACAGGACAGGGGCTGGCTCGGCAAAATGCTCGAGCCCAAGTTGCTTGAGAGGAGGGAGGAGGGAGGAGGGAGGAAGGAGGAGTGAGTAGGTAACGGGGAGGAGGGAGGAGGAGGAAGAGGAGGAAGAGGAGGAAGAGGAGGATGAGGAGGAGGAAGGAGGAGGAGGAGGAGGAGAGAGGAATGAGGAAGAGGAGGAGGAGGAGGAGGAGGAGGACAGAGGAGTGACTGGGGAGGACGTGGAGGATGATGGTGTGTGTGTGTGAGGGGAAGCATAAGGATGGTGATGAGAATGAGGAGGAGGAGCAGGAATGAGAAGTAGGAAGACGAAGAGGAACAGTGAGAGTACAAGGAAAAAGGGAAGGCTGGAGAGAGGAAGGCTGAGTCAGGGAGAGACAGGTTTGGAGGATGAGAGAGAGATATTCAAAAAAGAAAGAGAGAGAGAGAGGAAGAGAAAGATCGCAACACTTCTGTCTTGAATGGTCTGTGGGCGTGTCTGTGTGTACGTCTGGCTGGGTGTGTGTCCTGAGTGTGTATGTCTGTATGTCGCATCCCTCTGAGAGCCACCTCCCTCACATGTGATGGTCCTGGGGCACGAACCAGACAGAAATGCCCGGCATGAAACGATTGCCACGCACAGATCTCAGGCTCATCTGGAACTTCTGGTCACCGAGCACATTCCACTACTCGCAAAGTGCCTACTCCCAAACGTCCAAAAGTAAGTGTTTGGCCCGCTTGCTTGTCTATTTGGTGCCCTCCTCGGCCATCTTCGCAGTGACTTGGGCAGTCCACTGGATCCTCGGAGCCCTCCCACGCGTCCCGAGGCTTTCTCGCACGACCTCACTGCCCGGCGTCCTCATGGGCCCTTCGCGAAAGCATCGACTAGACGTAAGAGTGGCCTTTCGCCAGAGTGCCCTCTGGTGCGGGCCCAGTGGGGTTCCCCGATCGCCGAGCGCGAGGCGGCAGTGGCGTCTTGCGCGCTTGTGTTTGGCCCCCCCGCGGCCTCCGAAAAGCCGCGCACCAAAGGTCACTCTTACCCAGGTTCACTCTTGCATTTAGCCTTAAGTCGGGCCTGTCCCTCTACAGGAGGAATGTTCAAAAATAGTTAAAATAATAGTCCAGGGACTAGTTTTGATTATCTTTGGACTATTTCGGTGTGTCTATTGTGTTTTTTTTGTTTTGCGTATTTTGCATTTCTCGCCCAAAATCCGCCTGTAGGGGGACACGCCCGACCTAGATTTAGCCCGAAGCAACCCATCTCGCGAAAAATCGCGACAGCAGTGTGCATTTCGATGTTCGTGTCCGCTCCGTGAGCGCTGGGGGCGGCACTGTGGTGGCTTTCGAGCAAAAAGCCCAGACGCCGAGCAGTCTTGTGCTTCCCTGGGATCGGGGCGCTGCAGTGTTTGTACGCCAGGCTCCAATCGGGCCTGTCCCTCTACAGGAGGAATATGAAGAAAATCCAAAGAATAGTGTGGAGACGATTTGTTGAGCATCTTCTGGTTATGTTTGCTTTTTTCGGACTATTCCTAACTGTTCCTCCGAAATCCGCCTGTAGGGAGACGTGCCCGATCTAACGCCAGGCGTTTTCGCCCGGCTTCGGCTCAGGACGATCACAGATCGATTTGGCTCGAAGAGTCTACAAGCAAAGGGGGTCCAGGGCTCCTGTTGTGCTTTTCCGCGGTGTTGCATATCCTTTCGTAACGTCGGATCTCAGGGTTGGTATCTTGGGGTTCTTGCAATGTCTATGGGCATTGTCGTCGGAGCCGACTCAGCTCTGAGCGCGCGCTATTCTGGCACAGCATATCCTAGCGGTCTCATTGTAGACCTATAGAGAGTACTATCAGTCATCATTAGATGTTGGTGTCACTGTGTCTTCCATGTGTACATACATATTGATGTAGGTGGGCCCCACTATCCATCAATCAATCTCACACTCGACGATCGCTCTCAATATCTATCCATCGGTCGTGCTATCTGTATATCTTCCAGCCGTTGGGCAAACGCGGCGAGCCACTGACGGCGGGACAAGCACGCGACAACCGCTGGGCAAGCGCCAGGACACAGCAGGACCGGCGGGGGACGCGGGAGGGTACAGATTCTTGTGCGATTCTCGGAGAGCACAGCCAGGCATGTGCATAAACGTTCGGAGCTCCTCGCAGACTTCCTTCGCGGATTGGTGCTGGAGTCCCCTGGCGGCGCTCCGCACGCCAGGCGGGGGGGGGGGGTCTAAGCGCCGACCCGAGAAATTCGCGCGGTCCTCAAAAAATGTGCGGTCCCCCCTCCTCCTCCTCCTCCTACTCTCTCCCCTCCTCCTCCTCCTCCTCCTCCTCCCTTCTCCCTCCTCCCTCCTCACCTCCTCCTCCCCTCCTCCCTCCTCCCTCCTCCCTCATCCCTCCTCCCTCCTTCCCTCCTCCTCCTCCCCTCCTCCCTCCTCCTCCTCCTCCTCCTCTCTCCTCCTCCTACCTCCTCCCTCCTCCTCCCCTCCTCCTCCTCTCCCCCTCCTCCTCCTCCTCTTTCTCCTCCCTCCTCCTCCTCCTCCTCCTCCTCCTCTTTCTCCTCCTCCTCCTCCTCCTCCTCCTCCCTCCTCCTCCTCTCCTCCTCCCTCTCCTCCTCCTCCTCCTCCCCCTCTCCTCCTCCTCCCCTCCTCCTCCTCCTCCCTCCTCCTCCTCCTCCTCCCTCCTCCTCCTTCTCCTCCTCCCCTCCTCCTCCTCCTCCTCCTCCCCCTCCCCCTCCCCTCCTCCCTCCCCTCCTCCCTCCTCCCTCCTCCCTCCTCCTCCCTCCTCCCTCCTCCCCCCTCCTCCTCCTCCTCCTCCTCCTCCTCCGATGCGGCTGGTATCCAGGGTGCAAGAACTTGGGCCCCCCGCGGGGGCGCGAAGATCATCGCGCTCCTCGCGCTGCGGCCCCGGGCCCGAGCGACTGCCCCCCTCCCCAGTCACTGGAGAAGGGGCCGTCGCTTTGGAGCACAGCGGGGGCGAGGCGAGGGCGCGGAGGCGCGAGGATGATCGCGCGTCGCGCGTCGCGGGGCGGCGGTGCGCGAAGTGGGGCGACCCAGGGCAGCGCAGCGCGGCCAGGAGGGCAGCCGGAGCAGCTCGATGTTCGTGATCACCTCGGGCACGGCCGCGTGCTTCGTGCGCAGCAGGCCAGCCGAGCGCGCGCGCGCACGCGCCGGGCGGCCCCCTGGCGCGAGGGCGGGGTTGGCCGCCTCCCAGGAGTCGCGTTTGGCAGGGCCCGCGCCCGCCGTCGCCCACGCGGAGGGGGGGAGGATCGAGAGAGGCGTCGGGCGGAGGGAGGAGGACGTGGAGGACGAGGATGAGAAGCAGGAGTAGGAGCAGGAGTAGGAGCGGGAATGGGAGCAGGAGTGCGAAGAGGAGCAGGACGGGGGAGAACGAGGACTGGGACGAAGGGGCGAGGAGGACGAGGAGGACGACGAGGAGGTCGAGGAGGACGGGGACGAGGAGCTCACCCAAGAGAACCTCCCACCGGGCCTCAAAGCGTGGCCCCAGGGGAGCTCGTGATGATCAGGGCCGTGCAATCGCAGCCCGCTCGCGGACGAGGAGAACGAGGGCGAGGACGAGGACGAGGAAGAAGAGGACGCCGAAAACGAACCCCGGGCGTGGCGAGGCCTGTTCTTGAGGGGGTCTGGCCCCAGCGCGGCGCATCTGGCAGGACCCGGCGCGGACGCGGGTGGGTGTCGCAGCTCGCTCCCGCGCGCGGACCAGAGCCGCGGGCGGTTGGGGAGGAAGGAGCCAGCAGAGGAGTCGGTCGGCGGCGCGCCGAGAGGGGGAAGGCGAGAGGGAGGAGGAAGGCCTTCTCACTCACAAGGCCTCCTCCTCCTCCTCCTCCTCCTCCCTCCTCCTCCTCCTCCTCCTCCCTCCTCCTCCTCCTCCTCCTCCTCCTCCTCCTCCTCCTCCTCCTCCTCCTCCTCCTCCTCCCTCCTCCTCCTCCTTACGAGACCGTCAGGATCCCGCCGGCCAAGAGACAAAGCAGCGTCTGCACCCTCGACGGGAAGGCCTGCCTCTCCCCCGGGGTGGGCCGCCGAGGTCGGAGTGCACGAGGAAGCGGATCGAGAGGTTCGGGTGCTTCTGGCCCGCGTGAGGCATTCGGGGGCCTCCAGAGGCTGCATTGGCCTCCAAGGGACCTTTGCCTCTCCCCCGCGTGGGCCGCCGAGGTTGGAGTGCACGAGGAAGCGGATCGAGAGGTTCGGGTGCTTCTGGCCCGCGTGAGGCAGTCGGAGGCCTCCAGCGGCTGCAGTGGCCTCCAGGGGGCTCCTGCTGCAGAGGACGCCCGAAGGCCTCTCGGCACGTCGGAGGGGCGGGGAGTGGGAGGAGCATGACGATGATGGATGGGAGGAGGAGAACGAGGAAGAGGAGGAAGAGGAGGAAGAGGAGGAGGAGGAGGAGGAGGCGGTGGAGGAGGAGTGTAAACCCAAGACGCATCAAAGATAATGCAGTAGACCCTCCCTAGAAGCTACCTCTTCATAGGCCACTACAAGTATTTGTTGTCATTGCCGGAAGTGCCCCGCTGGCAAACAACCGTTTGAGAACCCTCAATCGCGCCCAAACATAATTCTTGGGACTTCAGCGCCGCGAATCAACGTCACCGTTGCGTCCCAACAATCCTAAATCGTCCCAGGGCACCATTCCTGGTATTTCAACCACACGAACCCCTGATGCAGTCGGCCCGGATCGGTAGGTCGACCCTGCCACACCAAGTGTAATTACTCTCGTGTCCCGTGCATCGCGCGTCGTGTCCCCTGCTGTCCCTCTACAGGAGGAATGTCCCAAAATAGTATAGACATAATATGGGGACAATTTGTTGAGCATGTTTTTAGTATGTTTGAGTTTTTTGTTCAAAAACAATCGTCTGAAATCCGCCTGTAGGGGGACACGCCCGACCTAAGGCAAGGGTGCCCTCGTGTCCTGTGACTTCCATGGGTGTCGGTGGCTTGGACCGCGGGCGATCTGGGCGCGTCGCGCCGCGGGGAGGTCGCGGCCCTGGTCAAGAGTACCCTCCTGTCCATTCGGGTTCGGGGGCTCATTTAGCTCGAGTTATACATAGCTCATTTCTAAGTATCCGAAAGTTCTTTGATTTTTTGGGGGGCCACCATCCTTTCATTTCTAATTGTTCGATCCTGGGCCTCTTCCTGGCCACTAGAGGGCCAGGAACAATTAGAATCGAGCACAATTAGAAATGAGCACGATTAGAAATGAACGACGTGGACCCTTGTGTCCTCTCAGGTACGGGGGCTCGCTTAGCTTCGAGGGAAGGTTCTGATTTCGGACAGTCCTGTTGCGTGTCCGGTGCTGCGACTTCGGACAGTGTTCCTGCGAAGTTTTGAAACGAATGAGCGCGGCGCTGAGGCGAGAACCACGCTATGTTGACAAGGAGCAGCCCTCCATCCTTGAAGCTCTTACAGGCTTTTGAGACGAGTGCCCGCGTCGTTGAGGCGAGGTCGAAACGGGTTGGAAACCGCCCACCCTGTATTTTTACAGAGCTGTTACAAGATCTGAGCGGAACGCGCACGGCGCTGAGGCGAGAGCCGCGTGCAGGAGGCCGCCCGCCCTCCACCCTCGAGGCTGCTGCCAGACGTTGAGGCGCGAGAGGGCGCGGCGCCGAGGCGAGAGCCGCATCTTGAGAGCCGCCCGCCCTCCATCCGTGAGGCGGCTGCACCTTGCGGGCTTCCGGATCTGAGCTGGTGGGGAGGCCTCGGGCGAAGCGCGCGGCTCGCCCCACCGACACGCCTTTGGGGGTGCGAGAGGGAGGAAGTGTTTATCGGGGAGGGCGGGATCGAGGGAAAGAGGTTGGGGAGAGGAGGGAAAGGGAGGAGGAGGAGGAGGAGGAGGGGGAGGATTAGGAGGGCGAGATGGAAGATGACGATGACGATGACGATAATGCTGATGGTGAAGATGATGATGATGATGATGATGATGATGATGATGATGATGATGATGATGATGATGATGATGATAATGATGGTGATGATGATGATGACGATGCTGATGATAATGAGGATGATGGTGATGATGATGGTGATGATGGTGATGATGGTGGTGATGGTGATAATGATGACGATGACGATAACGATGACGATGGTGATTATTATGATGATGGTGATGAGGATGGTGATGTTGTTGTTGATGATGATGACGATGACGATGATGATGAGGAGGATGAGGAGGATGAGGATGGCGAGGATGTCGATGCTGATGCTCATTGTGATGATGATACTGATGATGATAATGGTGATGATGAGGATCATGATACTGCTGATGATCATGATGATGATGCGTATGATGATGATGCTGACGATGGCGATGACGATGATGATGATGATGATGATGATGATGATGATGATGATGATGATTATGATGATGCTGATGATGATGTTGTTGATGGTGATGATGGTTATGCTGATGCTGATGATGATGGTGGTGATGGTGATGATGATACTGATGATCATGATGATGTAGTTGCTGATGACGATGCTGCTGCTGCTGCTGATAATGATGATGATGACGATGATGATGATGACGATGATGATGACGATGATGATGATGAGGAGGAGGAGGAGGTTGGGGAGAGGAGGAAAGGGAGGAGGAGGAGGGGGAGCATTAGGAGGGCGAGATGGAAGATGACGATGACGATGACGATGACGATGATGCGTATGATGATGATGATGATGATGATGATGATGATGATGATGATGATGATGATGATGATGGTGATGATGATGATGATG